ATTAAGACAATTGTTTTAAAGTATAGGCTTGAGGAGATTGAACATACCATCAACTGTATCCAAGTACCCATTCTGAATAAATCTGGTTGTTTTTTCTTCTATGCTTGAAGTGGAAGAAGAAAGTCCTAACCTCCAATTCTTATCATCAGACTCAACTAAACTATCATCAACACTACCAGAAAGATTTCCAGCAATATCATCAATCTGCTGATCCTGAAAATTCTCTTCATTTGTCATGGTCTTCTCTGAGGTGAAGCCAGAAACATGGTTGGTGTAATTGAGATCTGGACTGGTGTAATGATCATATGTGAGAGATAGATCTGGACTAGTGTAATGACCAGATGTAAGAGACAAATCTTCTTCTTCATCCTCTGTCACCAAAACATTGTCGGCTTCTCTCTCTGAACAGCTTGAAGTATCATCCAAAAGTAGAGAATGGTTTGCAGATATTGATGCTTGGGAAGATGAGTTTACAATGTCAGCTCTATTATCGAGCTCCACGCTCACAATCTTCAAAGTTTTTTCTGTGATTTCTCCTGAATGGTTACTGTCACCCAAATTAGAAAGCGTGTTCTGTGATACTCCAGCCATTAAAGATTCATCTTTACACACACTTCCATGTTCTTCAGCCTCAGGACTTGAATTTGCGATATCACTTTCTTCTCTAAAATTATTTATTTCCTGATCAAGAGACATACTTCCCTCAACCACATCTACTGCTTCTTCGCCCCGACCTTGTACACAAGATAAAAACATATCAGAAAAGTGGAGACTGCTAAATACACAAACAACTAGAGAAGATGTTCTGCATTATGCATTTGACCTGTTAACGAATCTTGTAAACAAATACCACTTGTACTTGATTCCATGATCGTGTTATCCTCAGGAGCTAACTCATTACAGTCTTCCATATCAGAGTTTGCAAGAAGTTCCTTCATGAACTTATATCCTCTTCTTCTAACAATGTTGGCAAGATCAACTCTAAAAAACAAAAACTCCTAAATCAGAATCCTTTTGGAAGAGTTATCAGTACACAATTTGGAATTGCGAACCTTCCATGTTCCGAGAGCTCCTTCATTGACGGCACGTGACCTTCAGGGAATCCAACCAAAGCAACGAACTCCATAATCTCACTCCGAAGCTCCTCGTTGCTCTTCACTCTCTTACGAACTCTGTCACTCAAATCGTAATTCAAGCACACCAATAAACCAACAAAACCCATAACAGTAACTAAGAATTCTGTCTCGAGATTTCGAACCTGGTTTGTTTGATGGAACAAGCGAAACAGACGAAACCGTTCTTCTTCGTCGAGTTCAAGTACGAAACAAAAAGCTGCGATTGCCGATGGCTGCGAGAGTAGACCAATGGATTCCGATAGTGGAAAGAAGGGAAGAAGAGAGAGAAAGGTATCGGAGAAATCGTCGCCATGGCCGGACTTTGAAGTTCCCAGCATTTAAAGATTTACGACTGACTGAGATTCGAAAGTGAATATGAAACAGAAAAACATTTCTCTCATCAATGATTGATATATATGCCATATTTAACCGGGTTTCGGTTAAACAAAACCGGAGATCGATTATTTCAATTTCGCAATTTCCAAACGATTAGTAATAAAGTTAAATTCCCTAACCGAGCTTCGATTCAACAAAACCGGACATCAATTTAACCCAATTACCAAACGGTTAAGAAATTTCAACACCTTATATTTAAAGTACAAAACCAAAAAGTTTTTTTTTTCCTATGGTAAAGATTCTTAAAATCTCTTACCCGATAACGAATCCTAGATTTGGTACCACCACAACTGGTAGACCATTGGTACAAATTAATCGCTAAACCGGCTCTTGGTCCCAAAAAAAGACAGTAGTTTTTTTAGACTACTTTACAGTTTACATAAATTGTACAATGATCTAGCTTCGCCGTGTTTCAATTCTCCGGCTTCACACGGGACTCGGGAAGAGGCTGTGATGTTACCGGAGCAGAATCAGTGGCGGAAGGAGGATGTTGTGGTGGTTGAGGATGAGACTGGTACATATCTGTTGGCTGTGGTGGCGCTGGACCGGTGCTAGGGCCTTCGTTATGGTTTTCCGGTGCAAAAGTGTGAGAAGAAACCTGGCTGTTATTGTGGCCGTTGTTCAATGACGGCTGTTCGCAAAACTTCATCGTCTTGAGGACAAAATTGTCATCGTGGAGCTCGAATGGAGTGCTGCGGAATTGGTTGTGTCAGTAATCGATCTAATGGAGAAAAATAGGCTGAAAAGAGAAGATCAACTTTTGTGTTTTAGTTCTACCTGTTGAAATCGAAATGCACGAGCTGCATATCTTCTGATATTTCCACTTCTACTGTCGCGTGAGGACGAGTCTGGAGCGGAAAAACGACAACCATCAGACAATGATGAAACAAGAACAATAATATTGGTTTGCTTGTGGATCGAACCAGGATTGTAAATAAGCTTTGGTTGAAGTTTACCTGGACGAGGATAAATGGAAGAGCAACACCGCCACTAGGAGCATTTCCAGAGCTATACAAGTGTTCGTTTCTCTGTATCAGATTCTGAAGGCCTACATACTTTTCAGACACAGAGAAGAAAGAAAAACCATGTAAGAATCTTCTATGATAAGAGTAAACGGAAGATCAAGCAGATAAGTGAAGTAGAGTATATCAGTGGTTCTTTTCATTACTTGTTCTTTCAGTTCTTGGGAATATGCAGTTTTCTTTTCGATCCTGTTCCTGAGTGAGAGTCGTTCGGCCTGCAAAAGTTAAACTCAAATTCAGTAACAGTTTCTAAACGAGCTTTGGAACATGGGCAAGCAAACACGGAAAGTTGGTTGAAAACCTTTAATTCTTCAATGTCGCTTAAGCTTGTCCGAGGAAGACCTCTCCATTGAATCTCTTTTTTATCCTTGGAAATTATATCCATAGCCATGAGGACGTTTAAAGCATCATATACTCTTCTTCTTATGTTCTTCTCATCATACTGTTGCTGTTTAAAAGATATTCAGATGATGTAAATCTATCGGAGTTTGAAGAAAGAACCGCATATATATTAATAGATGTACAACAAGTATCACACATGTTCAAGTTATATAACTTATCAAAGAAATGCATACCTGATCCGGGGATGTCCCATCGTTAGTTGGCAGTGCAAATTCAGCAACAAGCTCGTCCGCAACCTGAAAGTACTTTCACCTGTCAGATATCGTAATACACATTTGCAATACTTCTCATGAGACAAATTGATATTCCACAATGTTAAACCACACTGGTAAGCAAAAGAAATCAGTTCTGTGAGATAACGTAAACAAAAGTGAATGAATCTTCTTCTAAGGTAGTTAGTTATATTGTGAAGCTTTCTGTTATAAGGAGACTACCGTACCTCGTTGTAAGTTGTTCTTCCTTTGCTTTCCACCTTTTCACAAACTGAGAGGAAGCCGGAAGAACATAAGATCAGTTAAATGTATAACCAAATTAGGAGGTAAATTAGATGAAATCAGAAGAGAGGCGGGTGGAGAGAGAGACCTTTCATGCTAAATTGACGTAACCCTCTTCCACTTTTATCTGGACCAGTCGCACGCTGTCCCCTCTTCTTCTTCTTACCACTGTCAATAGATTAATGATCAAAACTAAACTACACAAAAGATACCTAACGACTTCCACACAACATTAACGCAGAAAAACAGTGGCCTATACTGCTTTCTATCTCCCAACAAGGATAATGCGAAAGCTAAGTATTCAAAGACGCAGATTCTTAACTTCAAGCAACAGAAAGTGTCTACACGATACATATCAGGAGAGTCAAATTCAAGCTTATAAAAGTATGATCCAGACATCATACATTCATACTTACATCTACTCATTATGCAAAGCCTATGCCAAACACCACTTATAAAAAGGTTAAGCACATAAAAAGCAGCCATTGCTATACAATGAAACCTTAAATCCCTAAAACCAACCAAATCCGAGAATTGAAGAAGTGAAATTAGAAGAGCTTGTGAGAACATACCCAGAAGCTCCTTGAGAACCAGCCTCATCACCTTGAATTTCCAAATTGTTCAAACGGATAAAAGTACTGTCACTAGCCGACGTAGCCACGGTTGCGGTTTGCTCGCTCCGACTAGACGGCGATCCCATACTGCCGCTAGTAGACACCGATTGACCTGAAACCGCCGTTCCCCAAGACCTCGTACTAGGGTTGTTATTGTTGTTGGTCTTACCAAAACCATCGTCATGATGGTTGTGATTAGAATTAGACCCAGTTTTTGTCATTCTTTTCACCAAACTAATTCCCCGCAAAAACCGCAACTACTGAAGAAGAATACAAGAAATTCGTCAAATTCAATTCCGGAATTTTCGATTTTGAAGGAAACCCAATGAGAACTGACCTTAAATCGACTTGGGTTTTTGGACATTAACGGATTTTCAGTAATGGCGGATCACCATCGGAGAAAGAAAAAAGAAGCTCCTTCAGATTGTAAGTGTGGTACTTCGAATCTTTGCGGCGGTAACTTTTTGGATTTCGACGGAGGAGGAGGAGAAGGATAAGTCCGATTTGAGCAGAGAGAGTTTTTTGTCGGTTTTGGATTTCGGAGTTGAGAGGTTTTCTTGTTTGTGCGATGATGAAAGAAAGAAAGAGGGACCAAAACTGACTCAATAGGTAAAGCAGTAAAGAGGAGAATTTTAATATTAATTTACCAAAAGATAAATTCTCTTTTTCAGAATTTTTAGGTCTTTGTTAAGACCAGTTTAAGAGAGGAACAAAGTACTGAAATTAACTTCTACTTATTTATTTATCTATCTTCCACTGACTTACTTCATTGATTTATAATCATAATCATCATACAAAAACTTTCAAAATATGAAAATTATTACATAAACAACATATATACCATATATTAAAAGTGATAAAAAAAAAACTATATAGCCGGCAAAAAAAAAACTATATAAATAAATTTACATAGGATCTTTTTGGTG